TGACTGACGGAGGTTCACCCTTCCCGGCCCTTTGACGCGTGAGCAGTGTTCCCTCTAAGCCAAGTGAGTGTGAGCCAGCTCACAGTTTTTTAGCCTCCGGCTCACCCATTTTCTGTCTTAGCCGAGGAAGGGATGGCGCCAGAGCAAACCGATTTATGCAGCAGCCAGATCGCTCAGCTCACAACTTGAATGCCGGGAGATCACAAAGTAGAATTTTTGCTCACAGGACTCCGCAGCTTAGAGCATTGCTCGTGAGGCTCTGAGGTGAGTGATGCTGGGGACTGAACCAGGGGGATTTTTTTCCTGCACTATGGCCCTTCCCCAGCAGTCTCTTGTAGAAAAGAGAGAGCTAAAAAGTGCTTTCCACCTGTAGGTTCCCGTTTATTATTTACTACCTTTCCGCGGGGCTTGTAAGGCAGAGATGTTCCGCCAGGCCTTTGGCAGAGGGCAGTGATGAGACGGCAACTAAACTGGCACGCTCATACCGCCCATCTCCCTCCACCTACCCCCTTAGGAGGCTACGGGAAAACTCCAATTTCCCCCCCGGAAATTTAGCCCGGTTTTCCTGGGATTCAACCTATAGCCTGAGATAGCCGCCTAAGTTGATCTGAAAGAGCAAGAACCAACTGCAAACAAAGAGTCCGAGTAATAAGAAGAAGAAGAAGAAGAAGAGATTGGATTTATACCCCACCCTTCACTACCCAAAGGAGTCTCAGAGCGGCTTACAAACTCCTTTCTCTTCCCCTCCCCACAGCAGGCACCCTGTGAGGTAGGTGGGGCTGAGACAGCTCTTTCGAGGACTGCCTTTGAGAGAACAGCTCTTCTCAGAACTACGGCTTGCCCAAGGTCATCCAGCAGGTGCGAGTGGAGGAGTGGGGAATCAAACCCGGTTCTCCCAGATTAGAGTCCGCGCACTTAACCACGACACCAAACTGCTGTGAATTATTTGATATTGATACTAGCATTTTAATATGTTTCAATACGAATAGTCAGAATTGTTTTATTACTACAGTATTTTACTGCAATTTTACTGTAATTTTATGCTGTCTTGTAAGCCACCCTGAGCCAGCCCTGGCCGGGAGGGCGGGGTGGAAATTTAATCAATCGATCGATCAATCTTGGAACAGACTGCATTTTATATATTTATTGTATGGGATTTTATTGTGGTGTTAACTTAATCTAAATTATCTATTGGTTTTTATCTCGTAAACCGCCCTGAGCCCTGACCGCAGGGAAGGGTGGTCTAGAAGTCTAAATGAATGAATGAACGGATAACAAAAGTTGGGTTACGCTGCCTCTGCTGTCGCCTCTCCCACCGAAAAGGTCACATGCTGCCAGTTCAGCCCACCTTTACCTAAGGAACTGGTCGCTGGTTGTTCCACAGTGCATAAAGGAGTTTGCTATAACTGTTGCCGTGTGACAGACGGAATTCCGCACGGCATCCTGTGAAGAAGCAGAACGGCAAAACGTTACGACAAAAGCAAAAGAAGCCACCACCACACCCCGAACCCCAATTTTCACGCTGGGCAACGCCGAGCGGAGCAGCTGCTGGCACGATCAAAAAGGATCCGGAGGAGGGCAACAGGCCTCAGCGACTGGACTCCTGACAAAAGGCTGATGAGCCTGAGCAGCACACAGGGAAACGCTTCAGGGATAACAGACGGCTAGTCTACAAATGTGAAGAACAGGGGTGTCAAACATGCGGCCCGGGGGCCAGATCAGGCCCTCAGTGGAACTGGCCATCTCCTGCTTCCAGTTCTGCTGCTGCTGCATCATAGTTTTGCTTCGCTAGACTCTCTTAATCGCTCAGCCATTGACACACGGGGCCCGGCCCAACAAGGTCACATTGATGTCAGATCAGGCCCTCATAACAAATGAGTTCGACACTCCTGGTGTAGAAGGACATCAATCCACCTTATCTAGGAATGACAGCTAGAGTCGAGTCCACTCTGGCACCTTAGAAACCAACAAGCTTTTCGGGGTATGAGATTTCAAGAGTCAAAGCTCTCTTCGTCAGATGACAAAGCATTGACTCTGGAAAGCTCATACCCCCAAAAGTATGATTGTTCTCTAAGGTGCCACTGGACTCAAATCTGGCTCTTTTACTACAGAACGACACGGGTACCCTTTGAAACTATCTTCTAGGAATGACAAGAGAGAGTGGCCTCAGAGTGATGCACGGGCCATTGGCCTGATCCAACATGGCTTCTCTGACGTGCTTAAGTCAGGGAATGAGATATTGAGCTGGACATTGGGCATAACTATGTGGCTAAAGCTGGGGTCCACAGAGCGGCTTGAAATGTGCTCAAGGACAGAGCGGGGCTGCCGAATTGTGCACCTCTGAACCCCATGAAGGGGGGGGGAGGAAGGAAGGGAGGAAGGGAGGAAGGAAGGAAGGAAGGAAGGAGGGGAGAGGGGGAAAAGAGACTGGATTTATACCTCGCCCTTCACTACCCGAAGGAGTCTCAGAGCTGCTTACAATTTCCTTTCCCCGTGAGGTAGATGGGGCTGAGGGAGCTCTTTTGAGGACTGCTCTTGAGAGAAAAGCTCCAAGCGAACTTGTGACTGACCAAAGGTCATGCCAGCAGCTGCAAGTGGAGGAGTGGGGAATCAAACCCGGTTCTCTCAGATTAGAGACTGCACTCCTAACCACTCCTAACCACTACACCAAACTGGCTCTTTAAGAGGACAAATACTTCTAAGATACATTCTGCGGCCTAGAGCTAATCTCCAAAAGGCACTTAGTCACTGTCTTACCTTTGTGTTCTTTAGGATCATGAGGTCTGTGTTGTTGTTTCGTATTAAAAACTGCAGGTGTAACTCAATGGCCATTTCACCGCTTAAAATTTTGATCATTTTGGGGATCTGGTCTTTTGACTCGGGGTTCTTGAAACATACACATGCAGAGAAAAGGAAACAAAAAGAAAGACAGCGATCACAATCCCCTTAATTCCCCCAGGTTTGAAAGGTTTTTTTCCCCCTCTAGCCCTTTCTTTTGCAAAGATAGAAGGGGAAATGTGAAAAACAGGCAGTTTTGATTCTGGTTCTCTGGAAGGAATTGTGGAAAGAAGCGCTATAAGATAACAAGGAAGCTGCGAGACAACTATAACTTAAGCTGTTATCTTCTTTCTGATCAGATTCATTCTCTTTTGCTCTGGCCCATAACATTTTCTCTCTGGGACCTCTGCTTTCTTCTTGCTTGTCTCTGTACTGTTCGGTGTCCTTAAGAGACAAGTGAGAACACCGGGCAGAAAAATAAAATAAAAATATCTGAGCCCGCGCAGCGGGAAGGGCGGGGTATAAATTGAATAACATAAATAAATAAATAACATAAAATAATTTTAATTGGGATTGTTTCCACTGTCGGGGGGTTTGCCTGGGAAGTAGGTGGGGTTGGGGGGGAGGGCAGGAACAGAAAGATGAGGGTCCAGTTTTACTTTATTTATTATTCATTAATATTCTGCCCTCCCTGTCAATAGGCTCAGAGCAGATGACAACAGGACTTAAAACATTGCACAACAAGGATCAAAACATATCATTAAAACCTTCCACAATAAATAGTTAAAACAGATTAAAACAGATTCGCCTGGTATCTGGTTTTAATCATTAACTCCCAACCATCTTACACGTGTAAAGGAATGCGTGCCTCTAGGCATGAGCAGAAAACCCTTGCATTTACCAATGAACAATCAATGTCAAATATCTGCCCGCATTCCCACACACACACCAAAAAAAATCCAGGATTAGGGCTCGAGAGGCAAAAAGCTCAGGCTGGCTTCCACGGCAAAACCGCTCCCTTCAGAAAAAGAAATACTTACCAAAGGCCCAAGAGCTGAGGTGCACAATATTCAGGCAGTCCTGAGCAACCCCCAATTACAAAAAAAAAAATCAAGTTGATTTCATGTGTGAAAGGAAAGATGGCAGATCTCCTAAGGCCCTTAAAAACCATATTAGCACGCCTGCCTACTCTACACGGGTTTTAAGACAAAGAAACGGTTTGCCCTGGAGCCAGGGGTCATTTCATAGAAAAAGAGGTGCAGGAGCTCATTAGCATAACTTATTAGCATAACTTATTTGCATATGCCACACCCCAACATCACTGGAAGTGTGTCAGAAGGCAACACCCACCGCTCAGGCTCCACTGGACTGTTTTGGATTGCTAGGTATTTGGGGGGGGGGGGAGTGCAGATCTGCCCTCACAGAGGAGGGAGAGC